TGCCTCCCTGAGCACAGCCTCAGCTCCAGCCCAAAGCATTCTCCACTCTGTCTGGAGCCAAGCCACTTCCCTCTGCCAGTTACTCTGGCTGCCCCTGTAACCCCACCTTCGTTCCTCTCACTCCTCTTGGGTTGGGGTACTTCTTAGGTTTCTGCTCCCGCCAAGTCCCCTCCTCTGAAAGGTCATCTCAACCTGCCAGGCTGGGGTGACCTCAGGGTCCTCCCACTACCCTTGAGGTTTCTCCTTTTGTCATCTCAGATCTGCAGCCTTTGACCATGAACTCCGCAGGGGCTTTGGTTTGCCTTGTCAGTGCTCCAGCCCCAGTACCATGCAGGCTGTGCTTGGCCAGCAGCTGAGCTCCAGAGCTGTCCATGTACAGAGTGGATGGGAGCCGTAGCCAGGCGCACTCATGTGCAAACAGCACTTGCTCTTCACTATGATGGAGAGTCATTTTATCTGTAAATGTTCCCACCTACTGTGTGCTTACTGAGCACCTACTGTGTGCTCAGTGACATGTTACTTCTGCCTCAGATGGTCTGGGGGTAGTGTGGTCAGACAGACAAACCCCAGGTTCTCTAGGACTTATGTTCTAAATCAGGGCCGAGGGAGGGGAAGCATTTCATGACTAAATGAATAAAATTAAATCTGCTGCAGTAAGTGTAAAGGGGAAGAGGAGGCATTACTGGAGGGTCTGAGCAGGTTGGCCCAGCAGGGCTTGGTGTGGGACTCAGAACAAAGGGATTTGGGCAGGTGTGGGAAGGAAGGAAGAGGTGAGAACCTGGGGAGGAGGTTCCAGGCAAAAGATGAGCAAGGGTGAGAGAGAGAGAGAGAGAGAGAGAGAGAGAGAGAGAGAGACAGACAGACCAGGAGATGGCAGCACCAGGTCCTCTCAGGCCTTGGGAGCTGCAGTGGGTGGTTTGGAGTTGGGGCTCTGACTGCCCTGAGGGGCTGGAAGGGTCGCAGCTGATGGTGGAGGAGTCTGCCTCATACTGGAGGCCAAGGCCCAGAGCAGTGCAGAACTGGATCCCAGGCCAGGCTCTGCATAACTGCAGAGGCCTGGGTACTTTTTCCCATGCCCTTCACTAAAAGGCAAATTGTGGTTGCAGATGGCCTCTGCCTCATGCCCACACAGTCCCTCACACTTTTGGAGCAGGGTAGTTGCCTGGCAGAACCCCTCTTTCCACCACCCACTCTTTCTGGGGAACTTTCTAACACCAATCTCTCTGGCATCAAAGCAGCGTAGGCCTAGGCTGCATCCTCAGGCGGGATGACCTGGGAGAACCCCGAGCCTTCCTGCTCCTTCTCTAGGAGCTATGTGGGCAGCAGCCCTCACCTCCATGGCTCAGGCCAAGGCACAGGCCCCAAGCAGAGGCATCTTGGGTCACCCACTGCCAGACTGCCAGAACTCACAGCTAGGTGTATGCTGTGCCCAGCTCCCAACTATGCCCAGAGCAAATGCTCAGTCTAGATCTGAGCCTCAGCACTGTGTCTCAGCAGGGTGTCTTGTGGCAAGAGATTTACCCTTCCCAGGTTATTTCTTCTCAGGCTGAGTCACCGGAACAGCAGGCCCTACTTTGTAGAGTGGTTGGAACAACTAGTAAGCTGGCTTTTAAGTGTGAAAGAGCTGGGAACACAGCAAGAGCTCAAAACATACTATGGCCATGGGTTTTCACTTCTGCTTTGTCCTTTTACTTTTAAAACACTGATACCCACTCAAGGTGTGCCAAGGCAGGAACTTCTAGGGCAGCCACGCCCTTGGCATAGGTGCCACGCCACTGCTGATGATCCCCCGAGGACCCATGGCTTCGTTCTCAGAGGCTCCTCCTCTCCCTTCATTGTCACTTTCCTCATCACAGCTGCTTACCCCTACAATGTCACTGCTCACATGGCCCGTGAGAGCTCTCTCTGCCCTACTGTCGCCATTATAGACTTTTCCCCCTCTCAGGCAGTTTTTTACTTCCTGGTCAAATGTGGAGGAAAGGTCTTGCATTCACCTGACTTACCAAAGCCTGAGGGTACTTGCTCCATCTACTATCATTGCCTTTGGGCCAGCCGCCACCTGTGGCCTAGTCCACCTGGGCCAGGGTGGGGAGACACAGCCCAAGGATGAGGGCTACTTCCTTCAGGAAGCATGGCAGGTGTGGATGACTGGCCCCATCCCTCGTGCTTCTGCAGCCTCTATCCCAGAACCAAGAGAGTCCTCAGACCTGGAAGAAATAGTCAAGGCCAACTCCCCAAACCCCTGATTTGTATGCAGGGAAGGGGCTTGCTCCAAATAGGCCTGGGGAAGGGGTTCACTCCAAAGACAATCAAGGGTAGAGGTTGAATCAAGCTGCTTCCTTAAAGCAGACTTTGTCTAGCTCCTCACTGGATGCCAATGACCCCCTCTTCCTCTCCACAGAGCATAGAGATGAAGCAGAGGAATAGTTGTGGCTCAGGACAGGCCCAGCAGCACCTGCTAAGTACTCAGGTGGCTGGCAAGCTATGCAGATCACCCTCTCTAGCCTTCCCCTGCCCTGTGAAGGAGAGTCACTTGTTACCCTCGCTCCTGGGGCAGTGGAGGTGCCAGGCCAGCTGCTGATTCAAGTCAGGATCTATGTTCACCCTGCAACCGAAGCCACTCTTGGGCAATGGGTATGCAGTGCAGGAGTGAGCATGCTAGGTATGGGTGTGGGAGAGGGACGAGGGCTGAGGAGCTTGGATCAGGGGCCAAGAAAACCAGAAGCCTTTTCTCTCCCACTATCTTGTCCTGGACTTGAACCAGCTCCTGTATGCTGTCTGATCTTCCACTTCTCCATCTGTGCACATGGACATCCTGCCTAACACATACCCACACGTTCTTTGAGGTACTGAAGCCAGAAACCAACGACATAGACAAATGTGACAATAATGCAAGGAATCAATAACAGTAAGTATCTTCCTCAGTATTAGGGTTTAAAAGAAAGTAAGGAAAGGAGAAGCTATCTCAGGACCCTGGGAGAAGCTGGGATGGACTATGCTGCGGGTGGTTGGCATGACAATCAGATCTCCCCACAATCAGGCCCAGGGGGACCACAGAATCTTGACTGGCCTATAAGGGCTGAACCAGAAATTGGTTCCTGAGCTTGGTTGGCCTTATAGGCAAGGTACAGAAGGAATAGCTTCGGACTCTGGAGCCAGAGCAGCTTTGGAATCCTAGGCTTCAACTCTAGTAGTATCAGTTTCCTTGATGGAAAGCAAGGACACTAGTTCCACAGGTGGGTGTAAGGATTCAACAAAGCAAGACACGTGGAGTACTCTACACTGTGCCTGACACACAGCGTGTACCCTATCATTGGGTTAACCTGGAGCCCATGGGAAGTGCAAACATTTAGTGTGTGTGCATGAACATTTCCCTAGTGTTAGTGACAGCTACAACACTAACCATCCTAAACCGGAGTGGCCAACAGCTACTATCATTATTATTTCTCATGGATCTGTAGGGTGAAGACAGTGCTCACAGATTCCCTTGGGCAACTACCCTTGTCTGATACGAGGTACAGGGCAAGTTGATGCCTCTCCTCACACCAGGGCTTGGTTAGACACATTTATGTACTCCATCTCCATGAGCTGCTTTAGGGAAGGACCTGTGGCTCAAATTAGTCTGGGGATGCAACCCAGGGCCTTTGCATTGAACTACATCCCCACCCTGGTTTTTTTTTTTTTTTTTTTTTTTTTTGTATTTTAGCGAAGGGTCTCCAGGGTATTCAGGGTCTCCCTACTAGATCGGACTTGTTGTGATCCACCTGTTTACAGCCTCTCAAGAGCTGGGATTACAGGTGCACGCCACCACGCCCAGTCTCAATGCTGTCTCAGTGTGTCAGTGTGCCCTGGGGGTGGGGCTGGCACAGCAGGCCCAGGGATTGAAATCCCGGCCCCTGCACCTGCTTGCAGGTGCTTTTACCTGCTGAGCTATTTGGCTGGCCCTCCCACCCTGTTTTTTATTTTTCATTTTGAGACGGGATCTTACGAAGTTCAGGATGAAGCTCCTTCCAGGATGAACTGTAACTTGCCATGCTCTGGCTCAGCCAATTGAATATCCGGGATCACCTCTGGCTCAATTTTGATCAAGCTGATGGTAGAATTCTGAACTCTTGGTTTGTGTAATTAAACTGTGTGACCTGGAGGGCTCGAGGGTAGAAACATGACCCACTCACTTATCTATGTCTACACCAGCTAATTTGGGGCAAGTTACATACAAAGTCGCTTGTTCTGTTTTTTGAATGAAGGAAAGGCTTCTCATCTGGGGCCCTCTGCCAAATGTGAGGGCTCTGACTAGGTTGTGGGAAGTGCACAAAATGCAGGCTCTTGGAAATGAGTGCAAGGCCCCCACTGAGAGGTGGGTGATTGGGGCCCGAGTGACAGAAGCTCTGGCTGCAGAAGCCTCCTGCTCTTCCGCAGGGGTTGAAGCACGAAGATCCACCAGAGGGAGTAGAGTATGGTGATGGCGCTTACCTTCAGTGGTTGTGTTGCAGATTACATGGGAAAATGTGCGCAAATATTTAATCTACAGCCAGGAGATAGAGTAAATGGAAGATAAGTGCCAGGCACGCGCATGCACACGCCCATCTAAGAGGCCAACACGTTGCCGAAGCCTTGACATTAGAAATCATTCTTCTTTAATCCCTGGGAATGGGGCCTACATTTAAAAAAACCTTTTCTTGAACACCATAGCACTACAGTTACTGGGGAAGCTGCAAACAGCGGATGGGCCAGCAGGACTTCTTCACCCACCGTGTGCCCACCACTCTTCCAAAGACCACCAGAGCATGTTTGAGAAAAGTTAAGCTGTTTTATTTCACAGGATAGCTCCACATCAAACCAGCAGGCACCATCAGAATACGCAACAGAGGATCCAATCAGACACTCTACAGGAAGACGGGCGTTTGGTTGGAAGGTAGAGAAACTAGACCCAAAAGAGGGCGACACTTATCTTCACGTGGGGACAGGCAACCAGCAATTTTGTAGGATAGTTTCGGGGTTTTTTTTGTTTTGTTTTGTTTTTCCTGTCACAATCTGGGGAGGAAGGAAACCAAAGGAAACAAAATAGACCAGCCACTCTGAAGCAATCAGAACCAAACCTACTGCCAAACCATGTAAACAGTCACACTGCCGGGGAACGTGAGCCTGAGCAGAACTCTAGCCAGGGTCGGCTTCTGTCTAAGGAAGAAAGTGCACTGGGGTTGTTCAGGTTCAAGGAACAGCTTTGCTATTTGCCTGTGACAGTTCACACAGACAGGAGGTGTCTGCTAGGGGCAGCGATAGCCACAGGGCTGTCCTAGAGGATGTGACAGTGGGACCCTGGCAGATGGACCTCAGAGGGGCGGGAGGATGGGACCTGACAGCTAAGTCCCTTTCTCAGCTCCCCTGGCAGCTTTGGGTATGTGGGGAATTTTCTACATGGCTACTCAGAAGAGAGAAGGCCCCAGAGAGCCGGAGAAATTGCTATGAAATGTCAGCTTTCGCTCTGCACAGCAGAAAATCAGCCAGGCGACACCCACTCAGCCCTTCCTGCCTTCTCTCCCCACTGTCCCTTTCCCCCCTGCCCGGCAGGGCCACAGCCACCAATGTGAGCGGCTCTTTCTGGGCTCCTCAGGAGAAGGAGGCCTTTGTTCTGGTGTGGAACCACCTGATGTGGGAAGAGTGAGGAGAGAGACAGAGAAGAGGAACTAGTGTTAGTCCTGTGGTCTTCTCCATGTGTGGCAAGCATGACCAGGTCACGAGAAGTCCTCTGCACGCATCCACGCCTCCATGCCTCCTGAATGAGAGATATACCCACCAAGGCACTCCAAGGAGGCCGGTGGAGCAGGCGGTCTGGCCCCACACCAGCTCTCTTTTGGGTACCAAAGCCAGTTTTAAGTGTTTGTAAGGCAGATCTCTGAACTGCTGGTTCCAGCCGGTAGCCGAAGGATGGCTAAATTTCCCTGTGTCTCTTCCCATTCCAATTTCGTCGCGAGTAGAAACCTTTTGTTCCTTGGGAATCCATTTCTCTCCTGGCCCTGGAGACTTCAGAGAAAAGACTCCCAAGTCTAATTCCCAAGCCCACAATTCCCTTCAATTGTGTGCTCTGCCCAGGGTTCAAAAGGCGCTTCAAGGTGAGAAATCGTTAGCACTGAAAACAAGGAAAGGCAAGAATTTTTCATAGAATCCCACAGCTCAGAGCAGCACTTTAAGAGGAAAAGGAAGTGAGGGAGGGCAGGGAGGGACAGTAGGTGTGGAAGCACGGCTTGTTCTTAATTTTATCCCAGAAAAGTCTTTAGTGGCAGCCGGGACCAGGAGGCCCAAGAAACTAGACCAGGAACTAATTGTCTTTGGTCAGTTTTAAATGAACATCTTGCTGGTTCATTCCTAAAATAGACTGAACATCGGTTATACAGAAAGACAAAGGCTTGACCTAGGGGTAAGTTGAAGGTTAAGAAATCGTCCTGTGAAGCCCCCCCCCCAAAAAAAAAATGCCCGTTATCGACTAGCTGATCGGTTCAGCTTTCAGTAATGGTGATGAACAAATAGGTAAACATCACTTCCCCTTGTACAACTGGTTATATTGAGGACTACTAACTAGGTTACTACGTATTTCCCCCCACACTCACTGTACAGTTAGGTTTCTGGTATTTGTTTTTACATTGATCTATCTACTAGGTGCAAAGATTTGGTAAGTGGCATTGGCTATCATTTAATCGTAGCCTTTAAAAAAATTACAGTTTCACATTTTAACAGTTACTTTCCAGCATTTAAGCAAATACAGCACTATATAGTGGACTAAAAACAGGCAGGAATCGGAAGAGAATGCCAATGTTCGGTGGACATCGTGGGGCGTGATGAGGGGTGCGGAGGGAGACATGCAGGGTGCGCGCGAGGGCGCGGGCTCGGGGCGCTTCTTTCCACTGCTCTGCGCCAAGGCGCGGGTGGTCAGGCTGGACCCGTGGGGAGGAGTCTGCCGTCTGTGAGCACACACCCTGCAGTGTGGACTCACCAGCCATTCTCAGTGGAAAGAAAATAGGTGCCTAAAGAAAACAGCTAAGGCTTTGCATTCAGGTATTTCTGGGAAACAAGGGTCCACTGTCAGTGAGGAAGAACAAAATCAGTCAAGAGAAAAGTCCGCACAGCCCGACTATGTGTGTCACACAACGCATCTGCCTACTCAGATTCTTGCTTTTCATCTAATATCCGTGGCAGAATTTCACTGGGGGGAGGGGGTGACTGGATTTAAAGTCAGGGTGTATCTCTGGAGTGGAAATGAGGAGTCTTGTGTCTGACTGGGTAGCACAGCATCCTGGCAAACGAATGACCTTCCGAGGCTGACTCAGTCCAGCCTCCCAGGCACCTGTCACACTGTGGGTGGGTTCCAGGCCTTCCTCTTTGGGGAAGGGGGCAACCTTTCTGTGCTCAAAGGCAGAGGGCCTTTCAGATCCAGCAGGTAAAAGCAAAGCATTGATTGCCCCAGGCAAAACAAGAAGTTGCCTCCATCCTTAGGCTCTCCCTGCCATCCTCGTAGGTGTCCTCCCCCATCCTCCTCCCGCTGCGTGGCTCAGCACCAGTCCTCCACAGGAGTCAGGATGGCTTTCTACTTCCATGCCCAGGTATCAGGGCTCACTAGGTCTCCTCCTTGGGTGAGTTTACCTTTTAATGGAGGACCAGAGGAGAGGTCCTACTCCAGTGGGAGGAGATGCTAAGGATGTCATTTCAAGCACCTGCAGGGCTGTGCTTTGGGCTCTGAGTAAGTTGATAGGAAAATTCCATGAATTTCTCAAAATCTCTCAAAAGAAGGTCTGGATGGTTTCGGATCTGAAAGACACCTTCCTGATGATAAGAGTGATCAAGATGGCACAATGCCTTCCACGCCACCCAGCCGGCTAACTCCCACCTGATCTTTATTAGCCTCGTTGAATGGGGAAGAAAAAAATGAGCCCTGTGAGGTGTAGGGATGCACCCATGTCACACAGCTCCTAAGTGAACAGGGGCTAAGACTCGAAAACTCTGAAGTTGGGACTCCACACCTCAGAGATCCCGAGAGAGAGCGGGAGAGAGATCGAGAGTGAGAGCGAGACTGAGAGTGAGAGAGAGAGAGAGAAAGAGAAAGAGAGAGCCTAAGAGCAGTAGGGAAGAGACCTTAGCTTGGCAGGAGAGACTAAGTAAAAGTGGTCCCCGTACTCAGACCTATCTGGGTTCCATTACCCAAAAACAGCCTGTGTCTACAAAGCAAATTTTAGAAAAGGAGGTAAAATGGAATTAAACGAGAGCAACTCAGGAGGCCTTTTTTCCTCCAAGAGGAAATGTCTTGCTCATTTTACTTGGGAAACATGCCTCTGTGCCTATCACCACATTTTCATTTAGAGTAAATGCTCTGAAGAGAGTGGATGAAGTGGGAGTGGAGGGAAGGTAGAAAGCTACTGCACTTGTGGAAACTCGCCAGCGGTGTCCTCTGGCCCAGACAGTGCCCAAGGTCACCCCTCCACAGCCTCTGGCCCTAACTGGGCACTCAGGGCTCATGAACTTCATGCAGGCAGGCAAAGGCCAAAGGGGATCACATTTGGTTTCAAATGAAACAATGTGACTAAAGTCTCCTTGTCTGTTGAGTTCAAAATCTGACAGTATAATAGAACAAGAAAAAGAAAAATTAAATATTTTGAAGACAATATAAGTTAAACCTCTGTAGTTACCACAAATTATTCCTACAGCGTTTCTAGGATTGGAAGTACTTCACACCACGGTATTTTTCTCTCTCTTTTCCTTTTTCCCAACCACTGTGCTATGCTGGGGCTCAGGTTCTCCCTGTGGTTCCTGATCTATGCAAGAACATGAGGATGCTATGGTCAGGGCCCTTCTCGCCAACCTCCTCCCATGCCTTTGGGGTAGAGTTGGCTCTTGGCCTCTGAGTAGAAGGGCAAGGTCTCTGGGGTGAACCAAGGGTTTTCTGTGAAGGGTTCCCCACTCCTAGGAGCAGCCTACTTGGGGTGCTGCCTGCCCCACCCTTCCTGTAGGGGCAGACTATTCTGGAAGGCCACGACTTCTGGAGACAGTGGGAGACTGTTTGTTTTTCTGCAGGTTAGTGGTATATTGCTTCATTCGCAGTTATTGTGGGGCCTGTAAGTCCTCCCAGAGAAGTCCCTGCAAATCCCACCAAATAACTCAGCAGGAGATGTTTGGTGGCATGGGTCTGAGGTAAATCTAAGTTTCATAAAAAGAAAAAAAGAAATACTATATACATTTAGCATGTGTGTATGTCCAGATCTAGTATATGTATATAGATGCATAAATATATATATACACACACACTTACAGACATGTGCATACGTATATATGCATATGTATGCACATATATATACACACACATATACAAGTATGTAGAGAGACTGTCAAGAAACTAGTCTTCCAGTGATGGTATGCCAAGACGCCGTCTAGCATTCCACCTCAAGCTCAGGGCGGCTGTCCTTGGGGCTACTCTCGCTCTAGCATTCCTTGGAGTGTCTGCACACAAGAGGTCTGTGGATTCACATGGCTGAATCATGAGCTGCAGCTAATGCCTGGGCTTCAGCTCTCCACTGATACGAGCTCTCCCAGGCTGACCTCCCGGGCTCTGCCCTCCAAGGCCAGGATCACTGGGAAGTGAGTGGCAGCCACCGAAGCTACCCTAAGCCAATGTGTGCCACAGTAAGCCAGGGCAACACCGCTCTTCCATCAGATCACATGGTGCCTGACTTATCTGTGGTGCTGTTGGGGAACATCTTCTCGGTGGGCGTCACAGCTGGGCTGCCCACGCCTGAGCTGCTGCTGCTGCTGGACCGGTGCTGGACCACTGGCCTTACTGGCCGCATAGGGGGTGGGCGCAGCTGGGCACCAGCCAGGCGGGCAGACAGGGCTGGCTTGAAGGTGGTCATCATCTCAGTGGAGGAGCTGCTGCTGCGGCGCATGGCAGCATCTGGGTCGCGTATGACAATGGTGTGCAGGGGGCTGGCAGGCTCGGAACTGATGGGGCCTGGTGGGTTCTTCAGGGGCTCCAGGGTGTCCAGCACCACATCCGGTGCCTGCTTGACTGTGTTCTGCCTCTCAAGTTCCCGCAACTCATGCAAAGCGGTGCTCATGGTCTTCTCAATGTCCTGGGGACACAGAGAGCTCTTGGTCAGCACTGTCTGCAGGCCCAGAGCCCACGCCTTCCTGCACTGCTGACCAGCAGTGGGAATGTTTTGAAAGTTTTCCCAGGACTCCCCTGGCCCAGACAGAAATTAAATTTCTAGGGAATCTTATCACCACATAGGAGAATCTCGTGTTTCCTTGCAGTACTGGGGATTGAACTCAGGGTGTGGGAAAGTGCTGTACTACTGAGCTACACC